GCCGATCGTAAAATCGTTATCTCAAAGTCGAGCCTCCTCGCCCCGGTCTCGCCGTTCTCTTCTCGTTCGGACGCGAGACACACGCGCGTTCCTCGCCTCTTCTTCCCTTTCTCCCTGTCGGGAATCGTATCGGCTGTCCACGCTCGTAAAATCGTGGCCGATTGGCGGTCATTACTCTTCGCTACAGCCCATTCTTCTGCCCGCTCGCCAGGCGCTGCCACGTGTTCGGCCAGCTCGCGCATTTGCGTGATACGAGACACGCGGCGCATCTTAATTGCCGTTGACTTAAATAATGCGCGTCCACGCGTGACGCTACTCCTCGAGGAAGGGTTCCCGACAGGGGGAAGAGCGGATTTCCCGATAAACTGGGCGCGACATCCGTGAGAACCAAGGTGAGAACCCGCTTCACGAGTTCGAGCGATCGCCACTTGGAGGACGCAAAATGCATCTTTCTCATCTCGCAGCATCTCTCGCCGTGCGTCAAGGTGGTCAATTCTGTATCTTAGGAAAAATAGTATCGTCTGCCGTTGGCTTTAGCTAGTAGGTCCACTCTTTGCCGGCCCCTTTGATCTTTGTGTTTCCAATCACGTGATATTCCGCCGTACACCCGGACAGAATCCGTGTGTGTATACGTACTCATTAAAGCCACACTACCGCACATACAACTTTTCTCTCATTGATCTGCCCAGAGCAATGTCGGACGTGCAGAAGGGATCGACGCCAAACGAAACAAATGACAGAGTGGACCTACTAGTTATACCATGGTGCAAATGCTAAAAGTGAGTAGCCTTGTCTCTTTCTGACTGTCCCCTTAAAAAAGAGAGTCAAATGCCAGTGCAGTTCACGGCGTTTCCGTAGAGGGGAAAAAAACACCCTTAAAAGGAGACAAAACCGATCACTTTTAGCATTTTCACTATGTTGCAAGATACAGAATTGACCCCAAGGAATCAGTCGGCGCTGTCGACGGTCATTCGTATCTTTCGCGATTGAGAACGCAATTTTTTTAAGGCTCTCGTTATTCTTAACATTTCTTTTCTTCTCTATTCAATCGAGTAGCCTCGTATCTTTCCGATCGTCTCCCTGAAATCGCTCGATTCGTTCGTTATTCCGTGTCTCGTGCATCCAGCGCTCTGACCCACTTGAGAGCCGAAAAGAAGAGACCCAAGTCTCCCCATATCAAACGGGGAACACCCCTTTGTTCAACGAGTCGCTCGCCAGACACGAGTCGCTCGCATTCCTTTGACGGAGAAAAAGACGAGCGGGCAGTTCCTTTCCGCGTTGAAAAAAAGGGATAAGATTAATTTACAAGCGGCTGGTAACAAGCGATCGACCGGCCGCGCCGAGTTGCATCGGGCAACATCTGGAAATGCGATTTAATCTCGGGCGATCTCCCCGGCGTTTTTGCGCTTTGCTGCATCCGACGCGAAAATTGCTCGGTGGCTGAATCCGCGGAAACTTCCAAGTTCGGAGAAACTTGAGATACAACGTCAGTTAAAGAATGTTCTGCCTCTTTCCCCCTTAAATAAAATGCAATGCCTCGTCATAACTGTTGTAACAAATCCGAAGTCGCGATTATCCCGAATGAGCGTGCCTGTTTTTCTATCAGCTGTACAAAACTGATGCGAGAGACTCGCGTAACCGTAGAAAAAATTTCTATAAATAACTACAAAGAATGACTTGAAATAGAAATTTGTAGAAATTTTTATATCTTCGTTGAAACATTAATTTTTCTGTAAAAATATCTACGAAATATTACCACAAATTACAATATCCTCAAAATCGAGGAATTATTGCAGGTAGTATTTCACGAAAATGTACAATTTTGTAAAAATTAGTACGAAACTTTACTAGTGTTAAGGTGGCTTCTGCACGAAGGAGCGGTTTGGTGGGGCCCCTTTGATTTTTGTAAATTCATACGACGTGCAATTTCAATTTTTTTTTTACTTTTGATCGATTTATGCGGGAGCCACCTTAAAAATTTGAGAGGCAACAAAATCTTAAAGAATTAAAACCTCTGCTTACTTGTAGAATGTTACAAAAGTTAAGAAAAGTGTTCCAATTCTAGCATTTTCGTGTTGATTTTTATAACGCTCTTTAAATTCACGTAAAATTTCTTAGACTCTGGCAGTTATAGTTTTATAGTTTTGTAGAATTTTGTACAATGATTTCCGGCAGGGAAACGAGGTGCAACGGAACATCTCGCGGGCTATCCCGTTTCACCGGGCCGCGAAGAAATCGAACCCCGTCGCGATCCGGGCGGCGAATTAAATTTCACCTATATGGAGGCCTTTATTTCTCCCATCGCTCGTCGAAGATTCCCCCCGAAAACGAACGCGGACGCGACGCGGCTCGGCGAGCGCGTTCCGGAGAGGACAACGGAGACTGGAGAGAGAAACTCGCCGGCTGCGGTACGTGAAACGTAACTCCCAACGACAAGGCGATTTAATTGACGGGCGCGTCGCAATTTGTACCAATTTACCGCCGCCCGAAAATTAATATTAACGAGCGGCGTGCCATGTGTCCCCGGGCCGGGAGGAAATTCGAAGCCACCCTCGGGATGCATAATTCATAATACCGGGCGATTACGCCGCGCCCCGACGTCGCGATGTAAACACTCGTAAATCGATGCCATCGAGAGGGCCCGGCGTTGAGCGCGAGCGAGCGGGATTCCGCGACGACGAGAATTCTTGTTTTCCCTCGTGATGATAATCCCTTGATCCCTTGATCCGCGACGAATTGACGCGGCCGTGAATTTTTGTCCGCTCGCCCCGACCTCGTATCGAGCGAATAACTCGAGGACCTCGCGCGGAGATAATTACCCTAGTAGCAGCACAATATGTTGGTGCAATATTAGGATATATATGGAAATCTAACGTTTCCAACATTGGTCCAATATTATAAGGTGGACGCCTTCCTCTTATTTAGCCATTCTTATTACAAGGAGAAGTAAAAAGTCAAGATGACGTCAATTTGATGTCGTATTGACCAAAATATGACACGAATTTGGTCAATATATCATCAAATTGACGTCATCTTTGACTTTTCATTTCTCCGAAAGGAAAAGTCAAAGATGATGTCAAGTTG